GCTCCCATGCACACAGTTCGTCTGTTTCTTACAATTCGATTCAGATCAATCGGAATGGTTACATTACTGTTCCATTTAGATGGGAAGAGAAAGGAGTCAATGTTTCAAACATTTCTGTCAACGACATGGCTTGAATCGATGAACGTTCAATATTTCATGACAATGCAAAATTTATGAACTGATCTATAGGACCAACTGGGTCAATGGCACAGCAACACTGTGACAAATGAGGAACACTTTACAGTGAACTGCACTAGACAAATGAGGAACAGTGAAACGCTTTACTCAAAATGAATTACCAGCCTTCGACCGAAATACAGTTTTTGGGGACCCCGATTCCTAAAAAGCTTTCTTTCAAAAACCTCGACCTGTTCATGCGTTTGTGGACAACAATGAGGCAAAGTAAGATATTCTACGATCCATCTGGCCGCACTCAAATCCCTAAGAATTTGAATCCGTTCCTCTCATTTTATGGGATTCTTTACATCAAACACGAAGAACATTTTGCAAATATTTCTGATCACCTTAAGTGCGGCACCACTAATGTAGGCTATGTGTCCAGAGGCTTGACCATTCGTTGAGAAAGGACGCAGCGCAGTAATTTCAAGCAAATAATCAAAGACAGATTTCATAATGTTCTTTTTAAATGTTAATTACAATTTTTCGGAAAATGTCTGCAATTTCGGCATGCAAAGTCTGTCATTTACCGTAAAGTTCCGGTAATTAGAAATTAAAAGTGTAAATAGAAAGTAAGAGTGATATAATATATCTAAGAGAAGGTACTAGGCTACATCGAGACGTGTTCACTTACTTCACATTTTTGCTACATACAAATAACAAAGTAATTTTATTAAACAACACAAAACAACAAAATGGCAAAGAGTTTGGCATTCAAACCTATTTCTGCGCCTTGGGAAAATGATTATACAAGACAAAAAATTATTATAAAATAAACATGAAATAAAGTAATAAATAAAGTCAATAAGTAAAGGTGGAAGTCCGACGCCTTCTGGGAGCCTCCCGGCCGCCCCAGGACAATGGGGCGGGCTCTCGACTACGGCTTACGGCCGCTGATAAAGCGCCAGCCAATGTTCGAGCTAAAGCCAGGCGAATGCTTGACCAGCTAATATGGTTGCCGAAAAGGTACACTGACCTTTCAAGATGAATAAATTCCATATAATAAAGTGAATCTATAAAATTAAAATCTCGGTTGATACAAAACATTCGGCAAACATGCTTTTGAACAAGCTCCCATTCGTCGTTATATTTCGAGCATCCGTTGTGCTGGCGTTCCCCGGTAGAGCTTGAGCTTGTACACCCTTTTCTGGATTTGGAGGGGAAATGAGAGCGCAGTCAGGAAAAGTGGCTCATGCCCGCACAAACGCCAGGCTTCCCAAGCGGGCAGGTAGCTCGCGCTCAGCTTGACTTGCCTGATCTAGACCAAAGTCACACACTGACTTTGGTTACGAGCTCCATGGCGATGATAGACCAATATCATATTTGTTTTACATAAATGATCTTAAAGTATTTACTAAGAATGAAGCCATTCTCTCCCAAATGCTGTCCGTCGTCAATGATTGTAGCAATAACATCGGCATGACATTTGGCCTCGACAAAAGTCAATTTAAAAAGACGCAAAGTGACAACATAGAGCATTGAAGTCGATATGCACACTGTGATTCAAGATCTTGAGCCGGGTGAAACTTAAAAATATCTGGTCTTTGAAGAATGTGAGACCGTCTCGAATGACACAATGAAAGAGAATTCGCAGGGAGTATTACAGAAGAATGAGGCTTGTTCTGTAGTTCGCTCTGAACTCCAGCAGTCCCTCTGAGCTCCACTGCTTATAACGCATCATGTCGCCTACTCTCGAGCTGATGTACATAGACTTTGTCTCGCGTACGGAAGGAGGAAAACGCCTACGGCAAATTGAAGCCTCTTGCAGAAAACTGAAGACAATGCAATAGTCGGTATGGGTCAGTATATAGTCAGTCATCAAGATGACCCACTAATGAGGGTGATTATTAAATTTGACCGAAGATTGGGAAACAGAGGCATTGTAAGTGTTGCAAGTACTGCGAAGAAAACTATGCAACACACGCAGAACAACACAAGCTGAACTACTTCAATGAAATGACACAGGCTGATGCTACTTCAATGAAATGTGTGACACAAAAAATGTTAAAGAAATCATGGAAAGACAAACCACTCTATGGACAATATTAAAAAAGAATGGACAAGATGCAATAAAGATCAATCATTTTTGTGGCTTCAAAGGGGAAGAATGAAGCCAGAATCGGAAGCGGTTTATTAGCTGTTTAAAATCAGGCGTTGAGAACACGTCATTATGATAAAGCGGTTCCCAAAATTTGCGAAGATGATAAATGTCGCTAATGCCCAGATCAAGCAGAAACCATTGATCATATCGTCATATCTTGTCCAATTCTTGAAAAGACACGATAGGGTATGTTCCTCCACCGGAAGATCTGAACCGTCCTCGAAGTTGCAAACACATGTTTCAAGTGGTACAAACACCCACCAAAACCTGTGACGTCTGTTGGACTGGGTACAATTTTGTACGACCAACAAATTTAAACTTATCGCAAGATAGCGGCAAACAAACAAGATTTGTTATCCGGGATTTGGCTAAAAACGTAGGTACTTGTAGATGTTGCAGTGCCATGCGATCAAAATGTCGTAACCAAGGAGTCAGAGAAACGTCTTAAATACAAGAGTTTGGAAATCAAGTTAAGCAGAATATGATGCGAAAAAGTGCAGATCATTCTGGTTATCGGAGCTCTGGAATTTGTTTCGCAAAATTTGTGTAAGAACTTGGCTAAACTCACAGGTCATTCAAAAGACTGAGAAGTACAAGACATTGTTTTGTTGGAAACAGCCCCCATTTTACGCACAGTATTGGAGAGACGCACTGACAGTCCATACATCTGCTCCTTAGGAAGATGGAAGCAACCCGGAGTAGATTTCATAACCAACCGACTCATAACATCTTTAGTCGTTAATTAGAGGAATAATAATAATAATAATAATAATAATAATAATAATAATAATAATAATATAATAAAACTGTGTGCCTGTTACGATTGTGTGTGTCTATTTTCAACCTTTCACCCCAGGGCTTACAGCCTTGGGAGTAAAAATGGAAATCAGCTTAAATGCTGATCCCCCAAATGATGTAACGTGCATCTACCCCATTATCATGACAGCCCCGGTGGGATGCACGATATCGCCCCCTGACGGCCGATTCGCCAAAAAAAAAAAAAAAAAAAAAAAAAAAAAAAAAAAAAAAAAACAATAACGAGGTTGCTGCAGGTTCGAGTCCTGCGAAGGATTGGTCGCATTTGTGATTGTCCATTCACCCCTCATCATCATCCTATCATCTCATAATTCATGTCTTACCAAGGGATGCAGCCGAAAATCTGATCATCATAATGACACTCATTAATCTCTCAAGATGGAATGCAAATTAATAAATAGACTAAATACTTACATTATTTACAATAAATTATACAATAACATCAAAAACACTGTAAGAGTGTGCATTTCAATTAATTTGCATTCCATGATGATTAAAAACAAGGCAAGCTTCTGTGAACTTATATATAAAAATGTAATACATATGATACAACCATTATTAATTAAAGAAATTTGATAGTAGTTGCAAGTAATTCTCTATATTATCGTTATTGTGAAGTGGAGCTTATGTTTTGATTGCAGTGAGAATCCAGCATTAAAAAATATTGCATAATTATTTTAAAATAAGATTGCTACAAGAGATTAGCCGAAACGTGGCCAACACCAACTTACAATGTAATAAATGACAGTTATCTATAATAAGAAAATAAATCTGAATGTCTTAAATTAGAAGGGGAACCGTCTTTTAATAACCATTCCTTACTGTTTTGTTTCTATGATCAACTTTCCGAAGAAACTTTTCGAGTTGAAATAACATAAACAATCTTATTTCAACCCATTTTATATTATTTATTAATCCTTCTTACAAAAAATCGGAATAGATGCTGAAAAGCAGAGTTCATAAAAAGAGCTTATATTTTATCGCATTTTTGGAAACGGCATCAGTAATATTGCAAGTTCTGCGCTATCGCCTCAGCTATTACTTGAAAACAAAGCACCTTGTCCAATTCAAACGAAGCGCCAGATGCATATCTGCATTCATTTCGGTTGTAAAGAGCAGCAATCATTCCTTACTTTTACAAATAAAACAACCAGGAATAATAATAATAATAATAATAATAATAATAATAATAATAATAATAATAATAATTCCTAGGTGTTTTATTAAGTAATAGTTTAGTTCCTGGTTGTTTTATTAAGTTAATAATAATTATTATTACTATTATTATTATTATTATTATTATTATTATTATTATTATTATTATTATTATTTTATTACTATTTTTTTAAATACCACACTTGTATTTGAAGTATTACTATTGATTTTCATGCAAAGAAAATAATTAGACATTAAATAAAACGTCTAACAAGACGAGAAAAAGAAAATAAAAAAAAATAAAAAAAATAAAAAAAGAGGGAAAATGGAACTCACAGTAGGACCTCAATGCGTTAACATAAATTACTAGTGTATCATATTTAAACAACTTAGGTTTTTTATATTTCAGGGCCTTTTCAAAATATTTAGAAAAAATTAGACATCAAAGTCAATTCCGGGAAGATTTGCCCTACGCAAGTTTCTCCCCAAAGCATTTTCTAGCGGTATCATCCTATTCACATTCACGTGATTACAGCTTTGGCTTATGCGCATGTGGAAGGGAGTTTTAATGTTCATCCGCACAAACAAAATAAATCCATTGTTCTTTATCTTTAGAAGGGATAGACATCTTATCTCGTTGACTATATTTTGACATTTCACAATACTAATTTAAGCGTTGTATTATGGGTTTGTGTCATTAAGATCATTTCATTACAGAGCACACAAACAACGCGGATGGATACTCTCTACACATGAAGTTGAGATCGTCATCAACTGATTCGCCCGAAGAATATTACGCGCTCTGACAGTTAACTCTAGCGCAGATGCACGCAGTAGCATTCTTGGATCCGAAGTGTTGGAGTGTGCAACAGGCGTGAGCGCAACCCAGTGATCAGTGGAAGTGATCGTTCCTCACTATTGTGCGATAGTGTCTAAAGAAGTTTCATTTCATCTGAAGTAAATCGCGTACACTCAAAATGGTTTCCGGAGGAATGACGTGTGTGAAATACCTGCTTTTTGTTTTCAACCTTTTATTCGTGGTGAGTAAAAGTGATTTGTGTTAAAAGTTCACATGGTGAATTGTATCAAAAGCAACCAAACAAGCAAAAGGTAGATTGAATAATGTCGGGATTTGTAAGGAAGTTGATTTACCGTTAATTTTCAGGTTTCTGGCATAGCAGTAATTGTTGTCGGAGTAATGGCAATGTATCCGTATAAAGAGTATTCGACATTTATGGATGCAAAATTTGCAGCAGGACCGTTAATATTAATAGTAGTCGGCGCTGTCATCTTTGTCATTGCTTTCTTCGGATGTTGCGGAGCTGTCAAAGAAAATCACTGCATGGTTGTAACGGTAAGAAATGTTCGAAATAAATAAAGTAAAATTGTTTATTGAAAATCATTAATAACTGTATGTTCAATAAACAGTTCTCGGTTCTGCTATTGACAATATTCTGCGTCGAACTTGCTGCTGGAATTTGTGGGTATGTCTACCGTGACGATGTCAAGACTGGAATTGAAAAGCAATTCAAAGATAGCATGGACAAATACAACTCCAGCAAGGAGATCCAAGATTCCTGGAATGTGTTGCAACATGATGTAAGTAGTGACCTATTTTCAACCTCTTGACTACTAGGGATTTTTTAAAAAATTGTATTATTTACAAAGTCCCTTGTGTTAGAGCACAAACATTCTTAAAAAAAATTATTTTGAATGGAAGAGGCGTATCGCAAAAAAAATGCACTTTTAAGTGTAGTTAATGATTCTCTATGAAAGTGCAAATTTGTGACAAGAACAATTATTTTTGTTTAAAAATGGGGACTATACCTCTTATGATTTTATCAAACACATCAGTGTCTAGACTTACATCTTTAGGAGTTATAAATCATTTATAATATTTTAAATAGCTGAAGTGCTGTGGAGCTGATGGCCCTGAAGACTGGGCTAAACATAACATGAACATCCCCGCAACATGCTGCGGCTCTGCTGCAGAAGGCGAGAAATGTGAAATTGCTAATGCTTACGAACAAGGATGTGCTCCTGCTCTGAAGGAACAGATAGAGCATTTTGCCTTGATCATAGGTGGTGTTGCTATTGGCATCGCATTTGTCCAAGTAAGTGTGGCTCTGGTGTGAAACTGTGATGCATTTGTCATGTGCAGAAAACTCATTATCTCAATTTGTTTTGCAGTTGGTTGGTGTCATCTTTGCTTGCTGCCTTGCAAGATCGATTCGGAAGGAATATGAAACAGTGTAGAAATCGTGTATTCTCAAGTACTTGATGCTTAATCCAGGCATCTTTCAACAAAAAGCCTGCACTGAAACCTCATTCTCAGCAGAGATATTTGGTGTTCTCGATCCCACAATCTTCAAAACATTTTGTGTAATTGATGTCTGTTTGTACTTTTGATGTTTTTTGTTTTGTTAATTATTTTTTGTCATCAGTGTTTAACATCACGTTAATTTTGAGTGATACTTAAATGCATCACGTGTGTGTTGCTCATAATGAAGTTACTAATTATGCAGTTAAAAATTCAACCCATTTTGGTATTTGCCAAAGAATGTTAAATTAGTTGCACATTTGTGTGGTGACATTTTGTATTGCATGTAACAGAGATGATGCATGTATGAGAGTAGTACAAGTTTCATCTGTAAAAGTTGGTGTTGAAACACTTCTTGCATTTATGCAATTTGACCATCATAGAAGTGCCATCTTCAAAACGCTGAGCAGTGTATTGCTTCCCTCTACAAGAATTTGAAAAACTTTTTCACTCCTGTGTAGAATATTGAGAGTAGCACAATTTGAGTTGAGGGATCTTTTAACTGCTCTCTTTCTGTTGGCATATTTGGTTCGAAGTTGTAAATGTGGGCATTCATTTGACTGGCACAAAGAATTGTGTCTTACTAAATGCATTTTGTTTGCTTGGGCAAAATGATGTGCACAACCTGGGGAAGGAGATTCTGAAGCCCAGAAAGAACTGATTAGGATCAGTACTTCTATTTAGCAATAGCTTTTATACCAAGATCTAACTTTTATAAACGTTTTACTTATGTTTTGATTTTGGAGCAGTGTGCAAATTTCATTGTTTAACTGTCCAGACTAGGATACTTTTCTTTCATTTGGCTGCTGAATGTTAAATGGGCAATTAGGTAGCTCATTACATTGTTTTTGATGTACATAGCTATCCCTAAGGTTACTTTCATAAGTGTTAACCTAATGTTTTCAGTACATCATTCAACTGTGATATACTTTCATTTCATCTCTTAAAACAGCATTTAGTTTTTATTATAATAAAGGAGGTAACCTTTTCTGACAATGCACAGATGTGCAGCAATGTCAGCAAATGTACCTATTAAAACATGTGCAGTATTTCATATGTATTAAGTGTTGGGTGCGAAGATTGTTAGCAAAATGTTGCTGTATTTTTGAACAGTTTCATGTGTTATGTGCCTGAGAGAATAGGATTGATTATCCAACACGTTATTGTACCTATTTTCCAACCAAGTAATAAAGTTTCTTTTGGCGTAAAATGTTTGATATTTTGAAATTCTATCCTATTCACAAGTCTTGATCATTTTCTATTCTCTTAACTATCTCTCTAAAATTATATAAAATTTTGTTCAGGATCCTGCTGAAGTCCATTCAGAAGGTTGGTCTCGAAATAAAGCGTTCATTAAATTTGAAAGGTGAATACGTAATGTTTGGAGCTAACAACGCTCTTGAAGTGTGCCATGCCAGTGATTCTGAGAACACATTTAAATAAGTTTGTTACAAATGGGCTTTGGGTGTGTATTACATGCTCTGCCGGAAGTATGCAGAATCCATCCATGGAACATGTTTGTCGGAAATCTGATAATACTATACAATCTTTTTTCTTCTAATTGTTGCACTAGGCAAAAATTGCAAGCTTAGTGAACCTAAAAAAGGATTCTGATCGTTGAAGTGACATTTAAGGGGTAGTTCTGACTGATCTATCATAATGTAGACAAAATTTAAAAATAAAATTATCTACAGACATAAGTGGTGCTTGAATAATGCACAAATCAACATGCCTATTTAAATAATTCTGATCACAAAATTAGAAGAAACATCTTTTGTCATTCAAAATACATCAGTATTGCTTAGCAGAGAAAAACCTGTTGGCTAAGGTGCAATCTGCACATTCTTCACCAATCACTGTTGATTTTTGGTATCAAAAAGACATTAATGAAGGAACAAAACAAACTTGGATACAATACACCAACAACACTTTAGCTACCATTAAAAAATGCAACTGATGCAACTCAAAATCATGGGAATAATTTGAAAAAAAGTCTGTGAAACAACAAAATATTTTCAAATATTGCTAATTTTGCGATTTTTAAAATTTATTTTTATTTATGTTAAACTTTTACTCATCTTTCAACTATTTATAGTTAAAATGACGGGAAGGGATTCTGGAACTCAAGAAAATGTGCGCAGGAACAAATATATGCGAGTCATAACTTAAAATTATGTGAAAAAAAGGTTAATAGTTTCAGAAACATTTACATGAAATAATTTAAAGATATTGTATTGCAGAATGGAGTGAATTACCAAAATGCTTATTTTAAATTTTGAAGGTGATGGACCGATAGACGAAAAAAATAACAACTAATTCTTAAATTCCAGTTTTTAATGAAAACTGAACTAATAACACAAATATTGCTCCATTATAACTCTGGAGTTATTTTTGAAAGATTCCTTTGTAATTGAATCTTTTATTTCCAAACCACATCAAAAGCCAAATTTCCCATTTTTATAAAACTGAGAAAATGACCCTCCAGTTTTCAGATTTAAAAATATTTTTATTTATTGAAGCAGATGAAAAATAAATATTTTTCCTATAAATATGCACTAAATGATGAAAAATTATTCATGCCATTAATTAAACATTTAATTATGAAGAACAAATTTCATTCGCAAAACAGATCTCTTATCTTCAATAAAGTAGTTGGTGGAGGGTGTCCAAAAATTATTAAAGTTATGCAGTTTTTGAAAATTTAAATTCTTTAATGAAAACCATTCATATTAGCACATGGCCCTGTATTGAAATTAAAAAAAGCCCTTTTTGATATTTCAAAGATGCTGTTGGGTGTTGAGTATCAACAAAAGTTAAAATATCCAATTCAAATCCAAGGAGGTGCAATATCAGCCCAGTAATCAATTGGGGGAATAGCAATTATGATAAAAATCCTATGAATAGTTTAGATGACGGAGTTGTTGATGGATGGACAGACCTTAAAAAACAAACCTTTTGACATCAATTTTTTGAAGCATTTCATAATTTTCTCCACAGATAACTATGTATAGGAGACGGTAAAAATGGAAACAAGCAAGCTGATGCATATCTTATCACCTGACACTCTTACACATCGAAGTTTGCCCAGCAACTTATCTGCCTTGTGACATTGTGTCAACATAATATAAGGTTTGCATGAGACAACATTATTGTGAAATTAATCAGTTATACAAAAAGGGTATTGGCTTCTTTATATTATCATACCTTTCTAAAATAATCAAAGATTTTCTTTTGGTTCAATTATCTTTTTTTATAGAAAACAAAGAAGCAAAATTCTTTTATTTACAATTAAAAAAAATTATATATAATTTCTAAGGCAGTACTCTTGGTAATAAACAAAATGTTTATAAAAGCACTTATTTTTGCCATATTTTGGTGTTTGCCATTTGTGCTGCAGCATTACATTACTGTCTCTATACTACATAAGTAGTGTACAACAAAGTCAAAAGGTAATTAAAGGTTTACTAATATATGTAACAAAGGCATTGCTGATAACTCTTCCAGAAATAATAGTTATTGGTTGATGGCATTGGCAGAGTCTCCTGCAAATGGGATAGGCTTAAAGTTAGAAAGGAAAATAGACAATAAAACAGCAAACAAACTTCATTGAAATGTATCATGAACATGGCCAAAGGTATTACATGACATCTACGGGTAGTGAAATAAATAAATGATGAATTGATTTATTTACCTTAATTCAGATGTAACTGAAATTATTCAATATACTTTCTTGCATGTACTTGATGGCAAAACATCAGTTTGTGAACAATGTTAGCAGCTAAACCACAAGCAAGTTTCCCCCCAAAATTGATATATCTTGTTCAAACTGGCTGATGTCACAGCCTCATGAATTATAAACAGAATTTTTGGAGGTACATAATAGCCTGTTTTCTCCAAAATTGCTAAAATTTTTTAAATTTTTTTGTTTGTTTTTTGTGTTGATGTTGTTGAAAGGGAAAAGTAATGAAAAATTATAAAAATGGCACAGGTCTAAATTTCGACGAATTAACTTAATTTTCAAAAGTGAAAATCTGTTTCTGCATTACACTACTATTACAATATTAATATTCTTAATCAAATATGTTTTTCAAAATTAGATTTGTGCTGATAGACTAAATGCACTGAACAAGATTAAAATACACCCTCCTCCTTAACCTCTCAACATTGCACATTTTTATGTATACCCAAAATATTTTTTAACAGCTCAAAATTTTACAGTGAAAATTTGCATATAGGACCGAGTTTTACTCTTCTGCAATGTTCCCTAAATCATATTTCAACTGTACTTTTAGGGAATGGGGAAATGAAGAAAATTGGGGAAAATGTCACAGACACATAAGTAGCCGCTTGGAAGAGGGTGGGGCAATATCGGAAAAGTAGCACAGAATAAAGAGGTTAGAAAACTAACACAAGAAAGAAAGTCTGTGCTATTTTGAAGCACTAGTTTTCATTACATAGAATTGGGCTTGGAGCAATAACATTAAAAGCCACAGCAAGCTTTCTGTTATTTGTAAATGTTAACAACCTTTTTTTCTTGCCAACACTGAAGGTATCCAGCACAGGTGCACAAAGCATTTGGAACGTACTTTTCAAAAGATCAGGAAACTCATAATTCTCAGACTGTTGCAATGAAATGCTAACTAATTAGAACAGGTTGATTGTTGAAGATTGTATCTTAGGATTTAGGTCTTGGAATGTAATATTTTGTAGCTTTCTGTGAAGTATGAGAGATGTGGAAATTGTGACAAATATAAGGAAACAGCACTCCATTCTCCACACACATACCATCAATTTTTACAATACTATTTGTGTGGCATATCTGAAATAAACAACTTAATAATTTCCACGAAGATAAATTACTTGGCAAATTTTGTATGAATGGTTTGTTTTAGGGTTTTGTATGAATGATTACTTTAAAGAGAAGGAAAAACATCACGTACCTTGATAAAAATTAATAAGGAAAATTAGTTCTCATGTCAATGAGAACTAATACCCTTTTATCAGCATTAGCAGTTTCCAGCCCTTTGTACAACAAATAAGGAGAGACCTGCAGAGAGCATAGTCTCTTGAACATCACAACTTTCTATTTTTTGAAGCCAACACTTCTCAAGACTCCTTGATAACGACATTCATATGTAATAGTGGCTAGCCTGACAATTGAAAAAATTCAACAGCAACATCTTTAGATTATTCCATGCAAAGCTTCAAGAAGTGAGGCTGACCGAAAACAATTTATTCAGGTCTTTAAACATCTTCAATGTTCAGGAACTCCCAGGAAAAAAAAATGATGTTTGAGGAATGAGGAAAAAAATAAAATTTCTTCATGTATCAATTATTTTGAAGTAAAGTGTTGTCAGCATTTGGACTGTTTGCAACAAATCTGCTAACTAAAAAGTACATTAAATCAAAAGTTTATAATTATTTCCAGGCAAAATTTAAAGTGAAAGCAAACAAAACAGGTTTTTCAAAAATTTCATGAAATAGCTCAACATAATCTACACATGATTCACGAGAGGCAAAACAAATATTGAGTTGCATAAATATCCTGTTATTGTTTTTGATACCTTTTACTTCCGTAAAAATGCATCAATATTACTCCTTCAACATCAAAATATATTTAAAAAAATATACACGGAAAACTAGTGGTCTGCAAGAACAAAATCGCTCCTGAACAGAACCATACAAAACGGCTTTCCAAGAAATATTAAGCACACTGCTCAAGAACAAATAATATATTCTTGTAAAAGACTGCAATAAAATTGTAGCTCTTAACATACCAAGTAATGTTATGAATGATCCTACTACAGAAGCCAAAAGTTAAAAATGGAGGCAGAGGCGAGGCAGTAAAAACACTAATATTTTGAGGTATGTACAGCATTGTATCGGTCATAAAATCTCATGACTTATGCAAACACGTTTACGATAGTAAACAAATGAATTCACTTGCTGCTGCATGTTAATATGATATTGCGAGATGTTGCTTACGATATATCTATTTAAACAATATTAGCATATCATTGTTTGAAGAATATGGACATGAATAATTTTTCTTTACCTACAGAAATTACTTTTGGTGAGGACTTCCACCAGCGACACTTTCACACTGCCAGTAAATATTACCAAGAGTTTCATTTGGTGGAATGCCAAAAAAATGATGTTAATTTACCTAATAATTTTTCTAATTATACTATTTGTAATATTACAGTTAACTATAATTATCCCAAAAATGAGTTACTTTAATTCTGATTTATATTGTACATCAACACGTTCTCTCGTAATAAACAGCTGACTTGTGATGCATTTATGGTTGTTAATTTACATACTAAGGATGTTAAATTTCTTAACACACGGGAAGGTACATTTATTTAACAAACTTGTAGGGTTGCATGTTAACAGGGAGTAAAGATGCTTGTGACAGATGAAATATTTTAACAAAAGTGGTCTTCATGAATATTGCAAGAACAGAATATAAAATATAATATACAGATACACAGTACAACAGTTCTCTGCAAAGCAACAAGTTCTGTCCCCCCCTCCCAATCTTTCTTCCCAGAGGAGCACATTACAACATTTAGAATCTTTAGTGTCAACAGTAAGGTATAAAGACTTGTGTATGCATTGGTATTAAAACAATAGTTTGAGTAGAGCTTTTTCTTATTCCTAAAAGAGGAACCTTCAGCAACGTTTGTTGCTGAAAGTTATTTTATGTGATAAATAAAATTTCAAGTTCTATTTGTTTACACAACATTTATTGTAATTTGTTACATCCTAACACAACATTAACAAGGGTAACAACCCTTTCATTATCGTCTTGTCTGGGCACATTTTTGGAATTACAAGGTAGATAAACAGGGATCAATACCTTCTCATATTCGAGAGTCTATTTTAAAGCATGTCATAAAAAAGAAAAACAAAAAATAAAAAACAAACAAACAGTATGTATAAAATCCATATTAGGCCTACAAATGTTTTTAGAAACATTAAGAAATTCTACATGAATTTGAGATTTTATATCCAGCACATTGCACAACTAAGACTTAAATTTTTATAAATGCAAAATAGCCACGTTAAGTTAAATTAAAATATGCAAAACCATATATCATAGGCCTCTCTTTCACCCATTTTCATTTGGGTTAAAGCTGCAATACCACAACTTTAATTCAATGAACATCAATAAGTTCCTTGTAGCTGAACTATGTTAAAGGCTGGGAGGTAATATGGTTGAAATTTCTTAAACTGAGTCTACATTCAATAAATTACTTTTTGTAACATACTGTTAAATTATAAATACTCTAATAATAGCAGTATAATCGATAAAAATTAATTCTTATCGATGCTTAAATGATTTTATTATTCTCACTGAATTACTCTCTGCCCTACACACTACGTATACAACAAGCTTCTATCATACCTCTCTTTTTTTATGAATATGAAGATGACATGTACACACTGAGCCATGATTACAATGGCCTCGAGAAGAAAACTGCAATTCTGTTACAGATATGAACATCGAAATACTACAAATGAAATGAAACATATGTATACATTTGCCCTTATGGGCTGGAAAGTTTTCTCTCCACTATAGAAAGTTTTCTATTCCAAAGCAATATAAGATTCATACAAAAGTGGTAGCCTATTCTTGCACCATTAAGAACATATTGAAAAAATAAAATAACTACATTCCAAACCTTTCATTCTTAGCATGCACTCTGGTTGAATGAACCTACAGACACCCACACTCACAACATACACAAAGAAAATCTCTTCAACACTTGGAACTGTGGAAGTGAACCATTGGAGAGAGAAATGCTGGTTCATGGTTCAGTCACACACAGCAGTCTGGTATACATTCCCCACATTCTCCTCCTCTGGTTGCCAATTTTTTGGCAGGAGCACATCACGTTGCATACCGTTTGGTCCACAGTCGTGCAATGCGGTCATGTTCTTCACGGTTTTGAAGGTACTGGGTTGCTATACTTCCCACCAATGGATCCGCTACACAAAAAGAAAATAACTATTTCAAACAAAATTGCTATATCACAAATCTTCCAATAAAATTTTAAGGAAATTCCAAATTGGGAAGGAAAATTATGCCATATTTTGCTTTGTTTGGGCACTGGTGTTTAATCAATGGCACCTACGTAGATTGATTTAGGAGGCATTGGCAGTATCACTTAGATCGCAGCTACAAAACATGAAAAAACATGTTTTTGGAAAATTATTTGAATCTTCATGCCATATCCGAGAACAAATTATCAGTTCCCCAACAGATGACCAAGAAGAGTCAAATGATACCTCATATGTATTTATTGTTGCACAGAAGTAGTCAAGCCGCCAGTGACAGATTTCATACATGTGCACACTGAAGTGTTTTACTAAAATTCTGTTAACTAATCGAGTATCATGTTCTCTGAGAATTATCTACCCTCAATCTCTAGAAATATTGAATATATTTTGAAGGTTTCTTTACATTTCAAGAGACATGGTTCAAAATATTTCTTTTATATAAGAATAAAAAATACACATTCTTTGCTTTGAAGAGTGCAGACTATATCCTCAAATCTCAATCCTCAAATGCAGCTCAAAAAGATGAGATTCCCATCTCTTGCAGAAAGTCATACTCTATTACACGTGTTCATTCCGTTCATGATAACACTGCCCCAAATATCCTTCACTAACTAGTCAGGGGATCCCAATAGGGTCAATTATGATTAAGGGGTCGTTTGGCAGATGAGCAAAAAAAAATATATGAATTATTTATATTCATATAATTATATGAATTATTTAGATTTCTTCTTTTTTTGAAATTTGTTTCTCTCTTGAAAGCATAGGCTTTCATAGCCGGTCAGAAGAAGATACTTGTCTGTCTGGTCAACACCTGACATTTCGCTCTTAGGACGGTTGCAGTATGGCAGCTGACATATTGGCAACTACGCCTACAGAACAGCGAAAGAATCTTTTCGTTTTTCCAGTCTTCAACTAATAATAAATTATAAATCTGCTCCTATTTTTGGAATCTATCTTTCACATGAATGAAAATAAAAACTTTAGTCAATTTGATTTTGCTTCTGAGAACTAATTTATATTTGTAAAATTAAAAATGATAACACAAAAACAAGGCACAATTTGAACCTTTTTCAAAAACATTTGTCCCAAAAATTCTTACCAAGATTATTTGTGCTATTAATTTGAAGTGTCCATTCATTTATACAGAGAAAACGTAAGGGATTAAACTATTCTTTTAAAAGGGGTCGATAACCGAAAAAGTTGGGAATCCCTGAACTAGGCTCTCTCAGTGTGTAATGCATTAGGCTTAGTGTAAATGTTACCTTACATTACTAGGTGTCAATAAACATCACTTTTATTGAAAAAAATCAACTGTTGTACTCACCTGGATTACAATCAGTGAGAAGAGAACAAATTGACAACAAGACTTTAGATATGGTTAAAGCAGGAGACCAGTTGTCCTTGAGAATATCCAAGCAAATCACACCTTGACTGTTAATGTTGCAATGGTAGATTCGAGTTCGGAACGTAACCTTGAAAATTCAGATTATACAATCAAAATTACTGGACATGCTTAACATTATGTATTGAATCTGAAATCTTTAAAATATTATTTCAAACAATTAATATTTGCTATTCAATTAAATTTCTTATATATATATTTAAGAAACACAAAGCTCTATGAGAAAGTTCAGTTCAAAACAATAAGTTTAAACAATCAACTATTAGAAACATAATAGATTACTGCCTATTTATTAAGCATGTCAATAAATTTGGTAAGAAGACTCACTGTTTACTTTTTTAAAAATTTGTTGCGTCTATACACACAAAGCGTCTCCTAGCTCCTAAGAGTGTTGAGCACACTTTGGAGTAATCCTCTGTTAAATACTACTATACGTGTAATCACACCTAGCTCCCTTTAGGGGCCGCTGGGTCGTCAAGTCAAGTCAGTCGCAGTCAAGTCGAGGAATCGCCGATCGGTAGGTCTACGCGCTCTCATCTCGCATGCGTCCTGTGTCATCTACCTATTGGCCAGAATTGGGAAGGAACAAGGATAGGGGTAAGGTTTAGGAAGCTTCTCAAGGGGTGGACTAGCCCCTGTGAAGCACGCTAACTCTTTTTGTCATAACAAATTTCACAAAAGGTTCTACAGGAATCGAACCCGTAACCTCAGTGGTGAAAGGCAAGCGACTTCACCACCGAGCCACGAGAGCATCAGTTTAACATAAAACAATGAGTAAAAATTGTAGAACTTCATTGAGAGTTTTACCTACAAACCATTACACTTATTTACAGGTATTATCAAAGACATTTTAACATCCAAACACCGGAATAAATAGTATACTCACAATCAGCAAAGCAGTCTTTCTGACAGCTGCTTTTTTCTTAAAACCAAACACTTCAGCACCATTTTTTTAACCTTTGCTCTTTTCAATACAGACTTGTCAAATTAGTAACAAAAATATTTAATCAATGAATTACAAAGAATTACATGCACATAACTAGATTAATATAATTACTGTATTATACATCTCCATATTGTTTACTAAAATATACTTTACTTTACTGGTACTTAGTGCTTGCGTATCTGTTTAAAAACTGAATCAATTTAAATCTAATACTGCTCTGGTATTGTTCTATTTATATGAAATACAAGTTCCTTACATCGCAACTTATTTTGTGCAGGGTCCAAATATGTTTTCATTTACTGCGATGTACAATTGTTTTTTCAACAATTTTTCTTTTCACTCTTTCAATAAACCCAAGAACTTGAGATTAGCTAAATGATTTCTAAACTGTTTAGATTGGGCAATCTTTATACTACAACGAAACCATAGAACTTTTCAGAACCTTTGCCTTACACCGGCCTCGCCCTCTAGCTATACCACAGGCTTATATAGAAGAATCAACCTAAGAATGAGCCAAAATGACAGTGAACATGTAATTCAGAGAAGTATCCCTCCGCTGCGACAGCTGTTCAGCCACACCTCTTTGTAAAGTATTTATGTTTGAACATGACTCCAGATAAGACAACGGCTTTTCATAGTTCACAACCACAAAATTATATAAAAAAATAAATTGATAAAACGCGAAGGATGTACATTCTCAATCACAGCTCAACACCTTCCGGCACAGGAGCAGGAAACTCGTGCACTAGTACACATCTCACATTCAAGACTTCAAATAAACATAATACTTATCACATAAAATCTTAATTCAATATTATTTTTATTAAATTTTTTTTTCTTTATAAAAGGGCACAGTAGCACTGCACATCTTAATTTCAATTCTTTCTCGTGGTGAACTATATTATCATCTGACGAGGACATCTCAAAAGGAAGTGTCGAAGCCATTTATAAGTTAGCCAACAGCAAACAAACGAATGAAGGAAGCAGAGTCAAATGGGCTGAAGGACACAACTACCAGAGAACCCTCTGTTATGCTGCCAGCACTGTCAAAATTCTTAAAAAAATCTATAATAGCAGTGAAGCATGGATTTAGATGAAGATTCAAACTGACAAGGCACGAGTATACCTTGGACAGGAGTCTACAATGCTTTAGTGATCAAGGTTAAATTGACATCTGGCATTCAGGAATGATAAAACTTGCTTGCATGTTTCATTTGGATGACTCCTATTAAAGGAATAAAATTCACAAATTACTGCAAAGATTTTGCAACAATGCTGTTGCCAGAATTTTCATTACCAGATGGTAACGCTGGGCACCAATAGGTTAAGATATGTAAATGCCACACTGGAAAATTTGTAGTGACCAACATTGACACTAAAAATGTTAAAATGTGCTTGCATGAATAAATATGCCCAACCTACCCCTGATCGGAACAGTTTACATTCACTGAGGAAATTTGAAGTGGCTCTCCTGTCATTTGAAGTACATCTCTCTGAATTCTTTACCCTGAGACAATTGTCCATTATCACTGTACATCATAAAGTCATCAACATTTTCAAACCATTTGGCACTAATATTAACAAGGTGAACCACTAAAAATTCTAACCTTTGGTGGTTTGAATGGATATTCTGGAGAGAAATGTATATCCAAGAAGAATACACCTCCCTCATAAACAGAGCCAGGTGGCCCCAGGATAGTAGATACCCACTCATACAGGTTATCGCCTTTGGGCCCAGCACTAAAAATAGAAATCTGCATTAAACTCGTTCTTCTACAAAAAGAAATTCACTAATGTTAAAAAACATTAATTACCTGCAATTTGGAGGAGGATCCAATGTAATCTCTGCCAGTTCCTTCTGAATCCTAAAACACAAAAATAAAGTTGTAACAAAACTCTCCAAGCATTAAATAAAATTTGACATGTAAATCATATCTTTTCAAACAGCAAATTAACATATATTGAAATAGGATAAAATTGGTCACTGACAACTGAATAATTGTGTTAATATTTAGAGCATCTAGGAAAGAGGAAATGGGAGGGATGGGAGTATTTTAATAAATACCGCAAATCCCCAGTATGTGTAT